CCCCAAAACCCCAAAACCCCAAAACCCCGTGAATAAACATATTAAAGAAATAATGGCTAATATTATATCATTATTAAAATGAAATACTACAATCTTATTTCTCTTGCTTTAATATTTATTGCTGTAAGAGCTCATGAAGAAGACACTTCACAGAAGGATGATAATAAAGGAGAAGTGATACTGTTTAATGATGAGAATTATATGAAATTGTTTAAGGAATAAGCGCTTGCAGAGGCAAAGACAAAGCCATTGTTTGTATTTTTCTTGATTAGAGATTGTGATTCATGCATACATCATGCTAAGGATTGGATTCAGCTCAGCAAGGTTACATCCAAGTAATACAAAATAGCAAGAACAGATTGCTAATTTGATTCCCAAGTTTGTCCTAAATTTTAGATTGACCAGTTTCCATTCCTTTTGTTGTTCAAGAATAATAAGATTTACAAGTATAAAGGAGGTTTAGAGTTCAATGAACTACTTAATTTTTTGAGCGCAGATAATTATAAGGAGGCTGAAATTTACTCAGAAAACACTTAAGATCTATTTCTTTAAGTATCAGGTGAATATTCACTCTCTGGAAAGGTAATAAGATTAGGTTAGGATTTCATTTCATGGAGTGAAAAGCAATCAAAATTCATATTTAAGAAAATTGGCTTGTACTATTGGTCAGATAACTCTAAGCTATTGTGCTTTACAGTTGTTACTACAGGAACCCCCACAGTCATTTTGACGTTTTACTTCATGGTTAGCTGCAGATACCTGTTCAATTTGATATTTGGAGCTAATAAACCTCATTAGCATAGCAATCACTATAACCAACATAATCATTCTGTTAATGGGCAGAAGCAAGCTTAGTAATAAGAAAATCTAGGGAAAAAATCTAAGAAAAGCAAGAAAAATGATTGAATGGCAGTGATTGATGAAATAATTGAATTTTATCAGATTTAGATACGTATTTAAGATCTTAATTTAGTCAATTACGATATGTTAACTTTAATTAAATATTCATTGTCTTTTTATCTATGAGCACCTAAAACTCTCTTTCTATTTGAGGTATAGATCCAGCATGAATACTATTGGATTTTTATTGTGCATCATTAGACTTATGAATATTTGAAACAAGATAAATTGAAACTTTAAAACCATAGAATTCATCATTACTTGCTAGGTCACAACCATACTTCTCTCAGTAAGTTTATTATTTTGAATTTTCTTCTCTGTAGTATCTTAGAATATACCCAGATTGGTTCTTAGATTAGAAAGAGATTTTGATCTCACTCTGAACTTATTTTAATGAAGGGAATCTAAGCTATTTCTTCTGGACATATCCATTTTGGGAAATATTGATTTTGACAGTTCTTCTCGTTTTACCTCTTTCCCAATTCTGCCTTACTTATCATTAGTCAATTCAGACTCTAGATTCTACATTATTTATCTATTTCTAGATTTTTACTAAGAGCTTTAAGCATCATTTCTGGCTTGAACAATTGATTATCTATACTAATTATCTCTTTCCACCTTTTTGATTATATCTCTCAATCTACTTTAGTCTTAAATCTGTTTAATCATTTTTTACTGTTCAATGATTATCTACGGATCAGGGAACCTGGGTGACTAATCAAAACCAGTGAAATTTAGAGTATTCTGAATTACAAATGAATTATCAGTTTATTACTTCTGTGATTCAGTTAGCATATATAAAGTCTCTGTATTAACATTATAGTTATTTTAGTTGCTTGTTAATCGATAGTCAGCTGCAACATAGTTGTTATTCATGTATGCTTTTGGAGGGTAAACTACCTTCTTTTTAACATCGTCATTGTATTCTGAGAAGGATACTTCTTAGTTTGTGTCTTGCACCAATATAGGCTATTGAGGATTGAATGAATTACCTGAATCAGCAGTGTTATGATTGGCAAATGAATTCATCGAGGGTAAAAGCTAAGTTACATCATATAACATGTTTTCAAAGCTGTGGTTATTTTAATGTGTTTAGACATTGTTTTAAACATCAATTTAATCTAAACTAGTGAAATCATAGGTTTATGTTTGGTTACTAGATTCATCAAGCTGCTGAATTTCGATGCTTATCGGTAAAGCTTGAGTTTTTACCTTTTGATTGGCATTCTAGATCGATTAATGGAATTTGGCAAGGGGATTTACTTGCTTTATTTTTTCATTACTCTAATTCATTATTTTAATGCCCAGTGATTTTCTACTAGAATTTAGATTACGATTAGATTAGCCACCTACATTAGCTAGGCTTACCAATTTAGATCTTTATTTCTAGAATGCTGGATGATTCATAAATACATTCATTGAAATCTGAACTTGATTATTTTCAAGTTAGTCTTAGATAGTACTGCTGCTTAAGTCAACCTGGAACTAATCTTAGGTTTTGCTCATATTAGATCTTGAACTGATATTTTCCTTTTGGCAGCTCTCTTAATACCTGTTCTTGATCTGAGTTTTATTAATTGTTTATTGCAATTTTATAGGAGTGTTTGCTGTTCTGCTTAGAGGGTTATTTCTGTTTAAGAATTAATTCTGATTTTACTGTGCCAAATGCTATTACTGTAAAGGGTAATTATATTGACTTTGATTTTAAGTATGCATCATATTTTTCATTTGAGATAAGCTTTTAAGAGCTTTATCATGATTCTGCAAGTCTTTTTACTTGCCGTTCACTTATATGTGATTAGAACTTCTATCTCTTTAGGTGATACTACCTCTGTTTCTCGATTAAGTGAATTGCTAGTGAGTAATTTCCTTGATTTGGGGCTACTGATAATTAATCGTAGAGATGTTGGTGTCCATCATCATGTAAGCCATATTTTGATTTAAACTTTAACGTTAAAACATTTGGAGCAGACTTTAATAATTACAGACAATCAATTAATTTAAAATAATGTAATTAACAAATACTAATCTAGCAAACTAGGAAGTCATACAAGATAAAGAACTATCAATCTTTGAGCTTTACATCTTCCATGAATTTATCTATGTTAGTTATATTCCAGTACTCAACCTCCTCCATCAGCTTGCCCTCATCAAATTTAGCTTTAACCTTCTAGTATCTTTTAGTCATTCTGATTAAGTCATTCACATAGTTTGTGTAGTTTCTAATGTGACCTTCAAATCTTACATGATGATACTCTGGTTCGATTATTTCACTTTCACCTAATAGCTTTTTGCCTTGCCATTCCAAATTTAACTTCATATTAGTCTTAATAATTAGCTCTAAGACTATGTTAAGAGGTACTGTTGTAAATTTCATTGGTACTTTACTCATAAATACGTGCAAGTCTCCATTGTATTCAAACTCAGGTTTAAATCTTACAATGTATTCTTTGTTATTTCTAGCTCTATCAATATGGTATCCACTTTAAAAGTATTAGGCTACTACTCGTATGTCAAATACATCTGTTTCAATGTTTTCCACTATTAGTTGAGCCTCGTTTAGCTTAATATTTTCATTCAGAAATTCTTAAACCTCTGATTGTAGAGATGGTTCTAGCATTTACTTTAGCATATCATGATTTTGTTCGCTTGAGTATTAAAGAAAGAATTCATAGCCTTTGCGAAACCAATCCAAAATCTCCGGATGAATCTATTTAGCATCTTCAAACTCTGGAGGTACTTTAGTTTGATTGAACTTATAAGGGCTGTCCTCAATAATTTCTAGTAAGGCTCTCTTAGACTTTGAGTCCTATATAGTTGAAAATCTCCTAGTAGGAGCAAAAAACTAGCTAATAAAGCGTCGAGTAGTTTAAAATTTCATTAAAGAAATTATTAAAATTTTTAGTAGCTCATAAATAAACTTGGCGATTAAATTTAATGATAATAAATTTAAAGAGAAACTGAGAGAGAGCTATGGATGTTAAAAATGATAATAAACTTTTTATTACTCCTTCGACGAAATCAAAACATTGAGTGATTAAACAACCACTTACTTAAAGAGAGACATTATTCTCATTATATACAGCCCTTCTTGATACATCTATGACTTAATAAGAAAAGGAACTAATTGACAGAGCTTTTCCAAATGAAGCAGAATTAAACATATTGTAAAGTATGGTGAAACAAGTTGGCAGATCAGAAGTTTTGGCCAATGATAATTAGTTTCTAAAGCAATTTTACAATTTCATTCAGAGGACAAACTATATGAAAATAGTTAACATGCCGCAAAATCTGAAAGATGCTGTCTAGTTGTTGCTTTGTGAAAGAACATATCTAATCCAGCTTATAAAAGGATTAATATATTGATTACTTCCAAAAGAGAGACCGAATTTCTTTAATGACTCATTTCTAGAGGCATAGTTTACAAAATTAAATACTAAAAATAAACTTTAGCCATAGTCTACAAAAACTAGGTAGATAAGTGTAGATCTTAGGAATACATAGAATGATTATCAAAGAAATTATCCATAGGGCCAAGTTATCAAGACATAAATACCTTTGATAACTACAACTTCATCAAGAGTAAAAAGTGATTAATAAGTTAGATCAGAGTCTAAGACAGTTATTGAGGAAGTGATAAGTGGTGCAGGCAGTTTCATTACTCAACTAGGGAAGAAATTAATTTCTCCCAAAAAAAATAAGCAAGATAATAGGATTTAAAAGCAGAGCATTTAGTCAATAAAAGTTATTAAAAATGAAAAATCAAGATTGATACAGACTAATTCCAAGTATGATTAAATGATGCAGTTCAAGAGAGACAAATAACTTATTATTGAGGATTTAAGTGAAAGTGACGACAACGTTGATGTGCCTGATACCGATGAAAGCGAGGATGAGGATGATTAAAGGACGATACAAAGCATGTAGAGTATAGCATAAAAAAGAAAATCTCTAACTTCAAATAGGGAAAAGTAGACTCCAAACTATTCAATTATCAAATCACAAAGTCCGAATAACAGATTACTAGGATTTATCTCTTAAAGTAATATTGTAAACTCTAGTAATAACAGTTCTCAGTTTTCTAAGATCAATCATAGATATAATCAAGCTAATGCTGATAATAATAATTAGGATGACTTAGATAAATTATTCTATGGTGATCAAAAGGAGTCAATAATATTTAATAACATCGATGATAATAATTAGCAACTTATCTCAATCCTGGATAAAACTAATAATAACAACTCTGGATTTTACTTCGAAGATGATAAAGGGGATAGTAGAAGTTTGAGCATAAAAAGCAAATACACTATTCATAATCTATAGAATAGTGATACTAAGTCACCATATGTTAAGGCCAATACCATTAAGGAAGATTCACACTTCTAGCAATCAGCTATTAAGTATAGTAATAGCTACAATAACACAAACAGCTATAAGTTCTAGCAAGATTTTAGCCTTGAATCTTCATAAAACAATCTCAAACAGAGTTAGAAAGCATTTCATCAAATCTAGGAGACTGACCGAGAAGAAAACGAAAATGACTATCCTTCAGAGTATGAAAGTCCCGAAAGAAAGCAGAGGAAGAGCATTGGCTTTAAGATACTAATGAGCAGGGAGTCATCTTTTGGAATTGTTGGGTTTCAGAGTGAAAATCTAACAAGAAACAACACAAAAAGAAGTGATGGAAGACTTTCCAATGTAAGAGAATCTGAGCTTAAAAAGCAATAAAAAGGGTTTAAAAAGCATAGTTACGGATTCCAGAGCGATAGCATGCAGCATTCGTAAACTCAGAGTGTATATTACCCAAACTCTAAAATGCTTTAGTCAAGACCAAGTTACAAAAAGGAAACTTCCCTAAAACGGCAAAGTAACAATGAATACTATTATCGTAATTGAATTTTTAATGAATCATCAAAACTATTAGTATAAATTACATTTTTTCGATTCATTTTTAAAAGCAAAATAAATGTAAATGTGCTATTGAGGGGTTTTGGGGTTTTGGGGTTTT